CTCACATCGATGGGATTCTCTAGGCTGCATTCCTCAGGAAGGTCTATCGCTGTGTCCAAGCTCACATCGATGGGATTCTCTAGGCTGCATTCCTCAGGAAGGCCAGGCCCGTGTGGAGCCTGGGAATCCGCCAGCTCCTGAAGCTGTGAATTGTCTGCTTCAGGTGGGAGCACTCCCTGTTGCAGGGAGACCTCGATGCTTGCTCCGAGTGTAGTCCCCGTACTCTCATGGCTCTGACCTGTCACTTCCCCGAGACTTTCACACAGTTTATGGCTCGGTTTTAAGGTCTCCTGTTCAGTCGAGGTATCTGCATTGGAAAACATAAGGCACAGCATTGAGACACATCTTGCTCACTCGCAATTCCCAGTGTAGCTCTGTCAATAAACTTAGCTTCCACTCCATTCAACCTCTTCCACACTTTCAAAGGAGAGTACAATGTCTTTGAAGAGCAAACCTCATGAGATAATCATTGCATGTGATAGCAAAAAAACAGTTGGAGACACTGGACACTGCAAAGGTTATGGGCCTTGATGACATTCCGGCAATAGTGCTGAAGACTTGTGCTCCAAAACTTGCTGCTCCCCTAGCCAAGCTGTTCCAGTACAGTTACAACACTGGTATCTACCTGACAATGTGGAAAATTGCCCACATATGTCCTGTACATAAAAAGCAGGACTAATCGAACCCGGCCAATTCCCACCCCATCAGTCTCCTCTCGATCATCAGGAATATGATGGAAAGGGTTATCAACTGTGCTATCAAGCAGCACTTGATCAATAACATCTGTGGCTTTTAAATCACTTCACTATTGCTGGATGTTCCTTCAGGGGCCCAGGACCCCATGTTCTAGAAATGCTTTGTTCTAACCCTCAGGTCAGAAGCTGGGAATATTGCAGCAAGTAACTCATCTCCTGACTCCACAAAGCCTGTCCACCATCTACAAGGCACAAGTCAGGAGTGTGATGGAATACTCCCCACTTACCTGGATGAGTGCAGCTCCAACAACACTCAAGAAGCTTGATACCATCCAGGACAAAGCAGCCCCTTGACTGGCACCACATCCACATCTCTCCACTACCAACGCTCAGTAGCAGCAGTGTGTACTATCTACAAGATGCACTGCAGAAATTCACCAAAGATCCAGGACAGCACGTTAGCCCAGTGGTTAGCATTGCTGCCTCGCCCAGGTTCGATTCTACCCTTGGGCAACTATGTGTCTGGAGTTTTCACATTCTCCCCGTGTCTACATGGGCTTCCTCCGGGTGCTCCAGTTTCCTCCCACAGTCCAAAGATGTGCGGGTGGATTGGCCATGGAAATTGCAGGGTTACAGAAATAGGGGGTAGGTCAGGGAGGGATGCTGTTTGGAGGGTTGATATGGACTCGATGGGCTGAATGGCTTGATTCCACACTGTAGGTATTCTATGATCTTTAGGCAGTACCTTCCAAACGCATGACCACTTCTATCTGGAAGGACAAGGGCAGCAGATACATGGGAACACCACCACCTACAAGTTCCCCTCCAAGCCACTCCTGACTTGGAAATATATCGCCGTTCCTTCAGTGTCACTGGGTCAAAATCCTGGAAGTCCCTCCCTAAGGGCATTGTGGGTCAACCTACAGCACATGGACTGCAGCGGTTCAAGAAGGCAGCTCACCACCACCTTCTCAAGGGGCAACTAGGGACGGGTAATAAATGCTGGCCCAGGCAGTGATGTCTATGTCTTGGGAATAAGTCAAAATTATCAAACTGTGAGATTTAAACAATGAAGGGATGGTACAATAACCATGCATTTTCTGGGATTTGTGGTCAGTCAAAGTCACACATTTAACGTATGAAGTGGAACAGATGGTTATATTGAGAGAAAATAACACAATTGGTCAGGTGCAGTGTCTACAATGTGGAGCCAGATTTTTCAGGGCAGCCTTTAAGAATAATGGTTACCTCAAAGTGTGTGAGAATTTCAGCACAATTATTGATACTTGATCTACCATTAAGTTGAAATCTAAGGCCCATCATTTTTCCTAAAGCAGAGATGATGGTGTAACTACGTAGAATAAAGACTAAAATCAGCTAGAAACTGACGAATTAGGGAGTGAGCTGGAGTGAATGATCCTGATTAAATGGAGAGTGAGCTGGAGAGAGTGATCCTGATTAAATAGGAAAGGAGCTGAAGTGAGTATTCCAGTTGCTGTGAACGGATGTCAAAATTTCTATTGCAATCACATGGATCTGTTTTTAAGTATAGATTTGTCCAATGTTTCTTTGATAAAATCCATTGATAGTTTCAACATAAAAGAGGTGATATTTCATTTGAGAATAACATGTTCATATTATACAGTGACTGAATCTCCCTGATTTCAGTGAAGTGTTGGTCAGGATTTTAACAACAAAGGTTTTTGTTCAGGAGGAGATAGAGAGATTATTGCCTCCGGTTGGGGTTTCCATAATGAGAGATCATGACATTATCATTACTGCAAAGAGAATGAGGAAGGAGAGGAGCAGACCATCTTTCACAGTGAATGTGGTGTGGGCTGCAACTGGGATAGTTTATCCCAGGGAACGGCTGCGACTGAATCTTTTGGATCCTTCCTGGGCTGATCTGATCGGTATTTGAAGCTGGAGCCGATATGGAAGCACAGGGCATTGGGCTAGGTTTGGATTGCTCCAGCAGAGCAAGCCCAGGTTTGATGGGCTAAAGGGCCTGTGCCTGTGCAATGGCTCTATAACATTACACTCTCACTAGTCTCGACCTTGCCTGGACACTCCAGGATTGCGTTGGAAGAGACTGGTGGTGATGGTGAACTGGTTGCCTTGTAAATCCTGGTACGCGGCACCTCTGCCAGTCAGTGGCCTTGGGTAAGGGGTGTTTGAGGTGGTCCATTACACCAATCCTCCTCTGTCTCTGTCTCTGCCTCTGTCTCTGCCTTGGGCCTATCTAGTGATCAGTGATAGAGGATACACCACTGGAGAGGCTGCTCTTCAATAACAGGGAGATTGATTGCTATCGGTACGACGCCATTCGGTCAGCCCTCATTCCGAGCACCTTATGGAGCTGCTACAAATCCAGCAGCACCCTCTGAAAGCTCGAGGTGTCCCCACCCACAGACTGCGTGTGACATCAGCAGAATGGGTGGAGCCAATGTAATGTGAACGTTAACCCGTTGACCTGAGATAACAGATCTCAGCGACTAACTTCACAAGCTGCAATTACCTTGGTCGTGTGATTGTGTCTTTGCTGCTGTTTCATTTCGGGTTTCCATTTTTCCTCACTGAATGGGAAATGAGAAAGAGAAACCATCAGTTCCCATCAGGGCAAGGATATTGCTTCAAACATGTGCACAGAGTCACACAGCATGGAAACAGACCCCTCGGTCCAACCAGTCCGCGCCAACCATAATCCTAAACTAAACTAGTCCCACCTGCCTTCTCCTGGCCCATATCCCTCTAAACCTTTCCTATTCATGTACTTATCCAAATGTCTTTTAAATGTTGTAATTGTACCTCCATCCACCACTTCCTCTGCCAGTTCATTCCACACACGAACCACTCTCTGAGTAAAAAAATTGCCCCCCGTGTCATTTTTAAAATCATTCTCCTCTCACCTTAAAAAATGTGCCCCTAGTCTTAAAATCCCCCACCCTAGGGAAAAGACACCTGCCATTCACCTCATCTATACCCCTCAAGATTTAATAAATTTCTATAAGGTCACCCCTCAACCTCCTACGCTCCAGTGAAAGAAGTCCCAGTCTATCCAGCTCCTCAATATAACTCAAACCCTCCATTCCCGGCAACATCCTGGTAAATCTCTTCTGAACCCTCTCCAACTTAATAATATCCTTCCTAAAACAGGGAGACCAGAACTGGACACAGTACTTCAGAAGAGGCCTCACCAATGTCCATATGTTACTTACACATTTGTAAAGGTACAATCGGCAATAGTTTATTACCATTGCTGCCTCACTATGCATGCAGTCTTTATTTTTGCGATTAATGCTATATCAAACAGCTGAGCAGTTGCTGAAATGGGGCTGGAATCCAGGAATAGGAGCGCACCCACTGAGTTAAACCTTAAATGTCTCTGTTCCAACACTGACAGGGGCATGAAAATCCAGGTTTCAGATCAGAACGCTGGTACCGCCTCTCGTGTTTTACACCTCGATCCAGGACACAGCCCAGGAGCAATCTGGGGAGAGGGCGTGGTCATGCCTGACTCTGGATATAATTAGGGAGCTTTGGGAATTCGAGCTGATCATTCAGATTGTGCTGCCAAAGCTTCCCTCCTCAAAGCCCATGTGTAGCGATCATCTGGACCATCACTTTTGGAGATGAGATTAGCTCTTACGTGCTCCTCTGGGAATTAGAGATGGGCCAATAAATGCCGGCCTGGTCAGTGATGCCCTCTTATTGTGAATGAATAATATATGAAAAAGAAACCTCATGGGCATCAATGACACACAGAGCAGATTCAGCAGATTATCTGGATTTGGGGGGTTTCTCTCGGTCACTCTCATGCTCTGAACATCACTGAGGGTGAAGAATTTCTCAATATTCACCTGAATCACATCACATCAATGAGACTGTGACTCAATGAGCAGTTTCAGCCTTGTATATGACTCCAGAGCTTTAGTAATAGTTTACTCTTCACTGCCCTCTGAAACACAACAAAGAAATGAAACCAGACGGGTCACCTGGCATCGACCTTGGCACCGGAAAAAAACGTCAGAAACAACCCTGTCGACCCTGCAAAGTCCTCCTCACTAACATCTGGGGGTCAGTGCCAACATTGGGGGAGCTGTCTCACAGACTAGTCAAGCAACAGCCTGATATAGTCATACTCACAGAATCATACCTTACAATGTCCCAGACCCCACCATCACCATCCCTGGATATATCCTGTCCCAGTGGCAGGACAGACCCAGCAGAGGGGGTGACATAGTGGGATACAGTCAGGAGGGTATTGCTCTGGGAGTCCTCAACTCTGACTCTGGGCCCCATGAATTCTCATGGCTTCAGGTTAAACACAGGCAAACCTCCTGCTGATTATCACATACCGTCCTCCCTCAGCTGATGAATCAGTATTTCTCAATGTTGAACAACACTCGGAGGAAGCACTGAGGATGTCAAGGGCACAAAATGTACTCTGGGTGGGGGATTTCAATGTCCACCATCAAGAGTGGCTCGGCAGCAGTAATACTGATCGAGCTGGTCGGGTCCTAAGAGAATCAACCCCTGATCTCATTACAGCCTTGGTTCAAACATAGGTAAAAGAGCTGAATTCCAGAGGTGAGGTGAGAGTGACAGCCCT